CCCCAAAACCCCAAAACCCCAAAACCCCAAAACCCCAAAACCCCTTTTTAAAAAATTATGACTGAAGAAAATAATATTTATGATCAAGAATACAATTAGGCAGAGACATTTTCAGAGCCAGAAACCGCATAATAGTAATCCTCCCTCTTGACACTGTAGTTAGCATTCAGTTGAAATCGGATAAGAATCCCCAGCTCAGCCGACAGAAGATCAAATGGCGGAGAAGACCTAAAAATGAGGAAAGTTCAATAGAAAACTCCAAAATTGCGAATAATAAAATCAGTAGAGACCTTAAGTCTATTCTTATGGGCCCCTGTCCTTGTGGCAAGGGATATATCGTAGACCTAAATGCAAAACCAATCAGAATTATTAGAGGTCTTGTAGAGAGAGTTAATAAAATCAACGAAAAATTCAAATCTTCAGTAGAGAGGATGAATGAGACCATGATCAAGCAAAAGAAAATATTAAGAGCTAAGCGTAAATAAGGAACTTGAGTGGGAAGCAACCAAGAACCAGTTTCATAAGTCCCTTTCCCGTATTAAGGAAAGTTTCAATCGAGGTAAAGACATGCTAAATGATGATCTACAAGAAATGGAAATTTGAGTACAAGAAATTAAAAAGGCTCGAAGAAAACATGTAATTAAAAAGGACATGACTAAAATGAATGAGCCTGAGTATGACTCTGATCTTAGTGATTTTGATAAACAATTCTTCTCATCAAGCGGGAGGTTCAATATCAACCAAGTAAAAAGTACACTAGAGAACTATGATACCACTCAGGTGAACAATAACAGCAGAAAGATCCAACCAACATATAGCCAGTATAGCTCTCTAAATAAGCAAAATCTGCACAGCAGCAAGAATGAAGAGTTCAAGAAATTAGCTAATAAAACATGAGACGTAATAACATCATCAGAATTTATATCTGCAAAAGACAGCCAACTTGAAAAGAAGAGCAGTGACGGGTAAGAGTCTAAATCATTGCCACGTCCACATCCCTAATTGAATATTCCTGACAAATTTATGCGATCAGGTTAAAATTCAAAATAATCCAATGCCAAATTTAATAAAGCTTTTGATCTAGAACTCCTTCCTAGAACTATGAAATTCCCTAGGTTTTGTTTAAATTCCTATATAGAGTCCTTGACCAAAAATCTAGTCTCCAAGGAGGTAAGCCATCGACATGTTAACTGTATAGAATCCATCAATATTTCGAAGGAATTTAATGAAAACTGTACTGACGAGCTAGATGAACTCTTTTGAAACGATGGAATCGTTCCTGTAGCAGAAGAAAGCCTTCAGGGAAGAATTAATGAGACCAACGAACACTGAGAAGAAGTTCTACTCCAGCAGCTACTAAAAATAGATAAAATGGAGATCGCCTCTGAAAGCAAAACAAACACTCAAGAGCAGGGACGCAGAGAGAACGACGAAATTGTTAAAAGAAGTCAGAAGCCTCATAAAGCCCAAGATGAAATGATCCAGAAAATCATTCAGAAAAATGAAGGTTATGATAAGGATATCAGTAATCTTGAAAAACAACTCCTTGGAGGGCACAATGATGTTAATACTCAAGAGTTAATGGATGCTCAACTTTCGTTCTCAGTTGACCCAAACTTATCTAATGATTCTAATCTTCCACAAAACGTGCCTAAATTGGACTCAGATTTGAATAACAAAAGTGAAGTTAGTGACTATAATAATCTAAATTTCTGAAATCTCCAAGAAACAAAGAAAGAATCACTAAGCTTTTGTAATTTGAAGAAAAAGACCTCAAAGAAACTTAGAAGTGGTTCTTTTAAAAAGTATCATAAATCTCCCAAAAATGGTCCGAATTCCTCTTCATTCACACATCTCAACTACAACACTTCTAACCTAAACCTGACAATGCCAAACTACCATACCCAAGACGGCTACTGTCAAAAACCCCAAAACCCCAAAACCCCAAAACCCCAAAACCCCTTAACAAGTGTTTATTATTGAATTTGTCTGCTAAGTATAGCTCAGTGTATCAGTCTGATTCTTTATGAATAAATATCAAATACAGATTTGGCTGATCCCTTATAATCAAAGGACACAACAAGAGGGAAAAGAGTGCTCTCTTCACTAGTAGTATAAAACTGAAGCATTGAGTTATTATTTTCTTCATTGAGAGAGTTTATTGTCCAAGATATCATTCCTGATTTGCTATCCAGATTTGAGCTTGAATTGTCATCTATTTTTATCAGCTTTGGCTCATCAGTCACTTTAATAAAGATATTAATATTAGAAAACTCAGAACTCCTCTCATTATCAGCATCCTCGGTGTATTCTAGCTCAAGGCTGATCTTCTGTTTCCCTCCTGCTGCTTTTGTAGCAAAAATACTTATCTCGAAAGGTAGAGAGCATTCGACTTCGTCTGTGATCTTATACCTGAATGCTCCAATACTAGAGCCTGGAGCGAAACCAGTCTCTTTGTCAGAAGCAGCGATTAATCCATTATTTTTAAACTCTTCTTTGTCTATTTCTGGGTGGATCTTGAATTGCTTAAAATATTCTGGTTTAGGAGTTCCAAAGTCAAACTGGGTGACCTTTTCACCATCCTCAGGAATATCAAAAGTAGTCTCTCCCTTAATGATGAACTTACAGACTTCACTGAACTTGTTAACCTCGCAGTTGACAGATTCTGTGACAGTGAGGTTCACCTTGGTGTTTGCTACTTCTGGTTCTGGCTCCTTATCCTCTTCCTCCTCTTTCTTAGTGAAGAAGCTTGACTTATCTTCATCAAATCCAAATCCTTTCCCCATTTTAGTGGCCATTTGCTTTGGCTTGCCCAATTGCATTCCTTTGCTAGAAGATTTTGTCTCTCCGAAAGGTGATCTCTTTGATTCTAGTTTAGAGACTTTCTTCTGAGGTTCAGGATCAGGAGTATCAAAGGAGTCAATGGCATCATGATCCTTCTTTGCCTTAGCATCGAGCTTGCTCTTCTGGCTGATTTCCTTATGTTTCTTATTAGCAATGTCCTTTGCTTCTTTCTCTCTAATCTTTCTCATTTTCATGTGCATCTTTTCATCAGTACTGTCCATCTCTAGGTAGGCTTCCATCTGAGACATCGTGACAGAGTCTCTGTAGCCGTTGACTGTGATCAGGTCATCAAATGACAGGATAAGGTCGAACGCTTTGTTGGATATTTGCTTAGCATTCACCCCCTTATTTCATATTTTCAGGATTATTTTATGTAGCTGCCGGATTATCTCAGTGTCCTCAATGATATTCGAGTTCTTATTAGTAATAAGTACTAGGTACAGGTCATCTATTGGAAGGTAGACATATCTCACATCTTCAGTCTCGATGTGCGTACATTGAGATCCTATGGCGTTAGGTTCAAGAACTTACCAGCCTCTATGAGCTTTGGAAAAGTTCGAATATACTCTTCCATCTTGAGCTTTGAGATGTCAATGTATTGCCTGGCAACTATGATCTTTCCCTTTTTGTCTCAAATTGTGGAGCTGATTATAACCATTTTGTTCCTAAGAGGAATTATTCAGATATTTTTACAATTATTTTAAATTTCAAAGGGGTTTTGGGGTTTTGGGGTTTTGGGGTTTTGGGGTTTTGGGG